GCCTGCTAGTTTTTCTCTTCTTCTTACTTACAGCCCTTGCAGCCTCCGCAACTGGAATTGGTCGTTTCGAAGGCTTGAATGAATCTTTTTTAGGCTTAAACCCCTTCACTTTTTGGACCGGTACATCATCTATACCAAGATAACCAAAACAAACTACAATCAATGACAGATATATATAAAATCATTCTCCTCAAAAAAATGCATATATCAAAACACAAAACTCTAAACAATTAAAAACTTACTGTCATCGTTAGAAGACGTGCTTGTTCCAGCAGGTTCAGTAATCGATAGGGCTTCACACTTTTTGATCAAATCAGTCATGAAGGCCATGGCTGATTTATACAAATCATCATCCAATGCAACCCTGCTGATCATTGATGCAGAAACAGCTGACAGATTGAAAAGACGAGAACGGTATTTCGATGGACTATCAGTAGACGGAACTTCAAAAGAAATGTTCCCTCCAGTTTTCGCTGCCCTTGTCCACCGCTTCAAAATCAAACTGCTAGGAATGTGCTGGAACTTCAGATTGCATGTTGTAGACCACAACATATCATATCCCTTAATTTGATGCTTACAGATCATACCACTTGACTCCCACTTACGGCAGGAACACTTGATTTCACCGTTTTCAAAATCAACCTTCAACACCCTACTATCCAACCTTGTAAGGTCATCCTCCAATATGAAGACATCAAACAGTCCTACATGTCCTTCTGGTTCTATCTCCGTATTGGAAAAAATATTATACGCAAGAGATTCCTTGTACTGATCCAGGAAAAACTTGAATATATTCGGCGTATACACATTAGCAACTTGCTTCACAATAGGGCTAGTAGAAAACCGAGAATCAGCCAACCTAGATAAGGCATAGTACTCTTCTTGTTCTTCAGCATCCCTCTTATTATCAAGCATCCTCTCAAAGTGCACAAAGAACCTACTAACGCTAAACTTTGACTGCAAGTAATGTCGAATATTACTATTGCAGCACTCACTTAGCTGGGTACTCTTCATTCCCGCACCAAAATGACAATTCACCCAGGCTGAAGACCACTTCGTCCTGACTTTGTAAATGCCCTGTAACCAACTATGTCCCAAAGGTCCCTTCCCAGGAAAACACTTCTCAATCATCTTCTTCCAATTATACTCAAAATCATCCTCATCATCAGCATTATACATCAAATAACTAAGCTCACGAAGGAAGTCAGAGTCACACAAACTTCCCAGATTAACAACTGCATTCTGAGCAATATGCCATGTACACAACCCATGAAAACAATCTGGGAAAACAGACCTTATACCAGCAGCAATTGCAGCAGCCTGGTCAGTAAACATTGATAACGGTCTCACACCTCCCATGCATTTCAAAAACTGATCGAAAAGCCATTCAAATGTTGCCGTTGTTTCATCATATAGAAGAGAAGCCGTAAAGACAGTCAGTTGTTGATGATTGTTGAAACCAACAAACAAAGCTACAAAAACATAACAAAATGTGAGTAAAAACAATTCTACCAACACATACCATGTGGTAAAAGGTACGAATAACAATAATACCAACCCATACCATATGGTAAAGACTCATACCATGTGGTAAAGACTTCTAAGAACAAAAAAAACAATCCATACCAGACTACCATATAGTACACACTTCTAACAACGCAAAAACCACCACAAATAACCTTGTTACCAACCCATACCATATGGTAAAAGACTTTTAAGAACAAAAACACAATGCATACCAGCCCATTCCATATAGTACAAACTTCTAACAACCCAAAAACCACCTCAAATAACCTTGTTACCAACACATACCATATGGTAAAATACTTTTAAGAACAAAAAAGCAATCCATACCAACCCATACCATATGGTACAGACTTGTAAGAACAAAAAAAAAACATGATACAGAATGATAATAATAATAATCATACAAACTAACAAAGACAATAATAAACAACAAACTAGAAAACATACCTAGTGGCCGATACTCTTTGTTAGTCCGGTAAGTAGTATCAAAACTAATTGAATCACCAAAATAATGATAATCCATCCTCATCTTCCCATCTGCCCAAAAAATACTAGCAATGTTCTCTTCAACATCAACCTCCACCTCATGAAAGAACCCAGGATCCAGCTGTGCTTGACGTCTAAAGTATTCAAGCAATGCAGTCGCATCACCATACTCCATTGATAACGTCCTAACCGTTCGCAGATGGTTCTTCAAATCATTCTTTGTGAACCCAACAAACTTCCGACCACCACCAGCCCTACTAATTGCATTATACGAAGAAGTCACACCAATACCAGCAGCATCATTCACCTCTGCCAACATCTTATACACAGGAGCCATTCGTCTGCTGGATCTCACATAGTGACGCAGAGACTCAGGAATCATGTCATGGTTGTGCACATTATACCAACGATAGATCTTGTAGCATTTAAACTCTTTAAACCACCTCAGTCGTATATAAGCACCATTACATCCACCCCTGAGTTCTGGAACATTACGAACACGAACTGTCGTATCAACAACACCTGCATTATCAGGGTTATTCTCGCTACCTCTTTTCCAACCTTCCTTATTGCAACAATACTTGATATAATATACAGCTGAAGAACCACCATTGAGCTTCGGACACGCTGATTGGTTATAAATCCTCACACCAAAACCTTCATGATTCCCATAATCAACATAAAAATTATATGCATCATCTGGTGTATTGAACTCTAAGTCCTTCCAAGAATCACGAACAGTAGGATCTATACCATTGAAACCTACAAACATTATGAAACAACATATTAAATGGATTCCACACCACAACAGTATGAAATCTCAATGTATACCAATAATTACAGCCATGATACAAGAGTTACCACCATGGTATGGCATGGTAAAATCAAATTACCACACTATACCATATGGTATGGCATGGTAAAATCAAACTACAACACTATACCACATGGTATGGCAAGGTAAAATCAAATTACCACACTATACCATATGGTATGGCATGGTAAAATCAAACTACCACACTATACCATATGGTATGGCATGGTAAAATCAATTATCACACAGAACCCTCACATTTAACTTCCTAATTACCACATTTTACCACATGGTAATGTACTGTAAAATCAATTACCACATGATAAGGCATGGTGAAATCAAATTACCACACTATACCATATGGTATGGCATGGTAAAATCAAACTACCACACTATACCACATGGTATGGCATGGTAAAATCAAATTACCACACTATACCATATGGTATGGCATGGTAAAATCAATTATCACACAGAATCCTCACATTTAACTTCCTAATTACCACATTTTACCACATGGTAATGTACTGTAAAATCAATTACCACATGATAAGGCATGGTAAAATCAAATTACCACACTATACCATATGGTATGGCATGGTAAAATCAATTATCACACAGAACCATCACATTTAACTTCCTAATTACCACATTTTACCACATGGTAATGTACTGTAAAATCAATTACCACATGATAAGGCATGGTAAAATCAAATTACCACACTATACAAACTTCATTAAACAAACAAATTTGTATATCTTACCTCCTGATTCACCAGAGTTAGCTGAATGATCAAATCCAAGATCGATAGATGAAGAAGCAGTTCCAACAGCACTAGATGAAGAACCAGATCCTACAACGCTGGTTGAAGAACCAGATCTATCAATTGGAACAACATCGCCACAATTTACGTAACTCTTCTCACCAGAATACTGCAAAAACACCAAAACACAAAGAACATAACACATGAAGAAGCTCGATTAGCTAAACATAAACAAGCTCGACTAGCAGCAATGAAAAACCTCCAACGAAACCAGAGATCAACAGAAAACTCGATTAGCTAAACAGGAAGAATAAAAAAAACTAATATCTAACCTCGTCGTCGATCAATTATGGAGAATCAGAAAAGATTCGCCGTCCCCTGTTTCGCAGCGGCTGCTCGCAGTTTCTCTCTACAAAAACCGAATCCAACTCGCGCACACGTCGATCAATTATGGAGAATCAGAAAGCTCGATTCGAAGCTGCTGCTCGCAGTTTCTATCGCCGTCGATCAACCATGGAGAATCGCCGTCCTTGTTTCTCAGCTGCTGCTCCCCTGCTCGTAGTTTCTTTCTCCAAAATCCGAATCCAACTCGCGCACAGAAAGATTCGCAACGGACAAAAGGGGAAACTCATTAATTCAAATAACGGACAAAAATGCCCCTGACCATCCCGCTTCAATGACAGCCACACGATCCGTCCGCCCCAGATCAACGGTTCCTAGGTGGTTACTCACGGGTGAGTAAGAAAGGGTTACTCACCCTATCCTAAGCCGGGCGTAGGGGAGAAAATTGGTAATTTAGATATAATAGTTATTTGATAATGAAAATTAGGGTGCATCCAATTGAGAATGATTGTAAGATAGGTCATATGTTTTAAATTTGGCGACTCCATATTATATTCAGATTTGTGCAAACTTCATATAAGTTAACTTTCTTTTCGGATAGTGTGTTAGTAAATACTATAAGATCCATTATTTAACCTCTCCCAGCAACTCGATTTAACGAAACGATTACCGACAAAGAACATCTTATGAAACAGGACCATCAAAAAAATAAACAAATTGAAAGGTATGAAATTAAAAAAAAAGAATCCGACCGGGGCCAACGGTGTATAGTTACTGTGCTACATAGGGTGAATCTCTACAATCACAACACTCAACTTATAGTTTACTTTTACGTCGCATGTGTAATTAAAGTATACATCGCAACCAACAAACCAATTCGCCAGTACTCACGAAGAAAGAAATGAAAAGCACACATCACAGTTCTAGTTTTCGCATTCCCAGCCAGCCAACTCAGCTTTCAAATCCATTCTCATTCTCTACAGCTAGATAATTAACAAAGTTTATTTTGCTAAGATTCCTGCTGTCTTGGATGTTCGAAATCAAGGTTGATCAGAAGTGTCAGATCACTAATCGCGATGAATGCTTGCAGTTTCAGGCGTGCTTACAACAACTGGGATATCCAGGCTGCTTGTTTCAGTCTCAGGAGGGGGGATTTCTCTGACATCGGCTATCCTCGACTCGGTTGCCTGAATATCCAGGCTGCTTGTTTCAGTCTCAGGAGGGCGGATTTCTCTGACATCGGCTATCCTCGACTCAGTTGCCTGAATATCACTCCACTGGGTGTCTCCAATTGTCCGGAGGTTGGCCTGATGATCCACAGCCAGTACGTTCTCTCCAGACTCGCTTAGGCAAGCTTTGTCAACATTCTCATCTGTCAAGTCCATGTCCTTGGTTTGCGCGGGACTGCGGGACACAGGATCTGAAGACTCTGTCTTCTCCTCGAAAATTTGCTTTTTATCTATTTGCTGTCTGTTAAAAATCCCCAGATATCACTCAATCTCAAATGCAGGTATTAGTGTTAGAAAAGCTAAAAGACATGTGAGATCCATTTTTCTAGAGAGCAGTTTCTAATAGTACTTATCTCCCAAGTATTTGGCATTCTATCAAAATGATGCAATGCCATACACTAGGGGGATAGAACTGCAATTTCAAATGTAATCAAACGCATCACAAGTATGAACCAATATGTGTTCAATTACGTGTTATTGCAAATATCTCTCCTAAACACACCCAACACACAGGCCGGTAGCCTTTCAAAAATATGGACAGCAAAGATAACACACCTTTGGAGTTTCTCCTGCAACATATTGACATAGGCTAGAAGCTCTTGCTTTTCCTGCAGAGCGGCTTGCTCCCTCTGAGCAGCCTCCCTTAATCTGACTTCAGCATCTGCTTCTGCAACCCTCACCTTCTCCTCCGCTCGTACAACAGCACCTTCTAATATCACTGCACGCTCTCTGGCTTTTGCAAGCTCACTACGCCATAGATGCGCTTCCTCAAGAGCTGAGTCTCTTTGCTTCATCAAAGTGTCCCTCTCTTTACTTAGGGCACCTAATTTCTCTTCGTACTCTTTCAGCTACCGATAACAAGCACCAAATAAAATTGTAAGTAGATCCAACGTAGATTTTCAGTATCAAATAATGGAAGTTGTCCAGAGACCAAGGTCTTTGTCTCATAATCAGGTGAAGCATATATTAACTAGTAAAGAATCTTGTTATACCTTCAACTTGGATGACTCAAGCTGCACTTGTGAAGCTTTTGAGATGCGCTCAACCTCAGCAAAGACCACTCTTCTTTGTTCATCCATTGTATGTGCTGCAGATGCTGCAGCCTCTGCAGCTTCAGCTGTCTCATTTAGCTTTTCAGCAATGTCCCTGATTGTTGAATCACGAGCACGAATGTCTCTTGCCAGATTCTGCAGTTCTTCATCCTTGACTCTCAGCGTCTCCTGAGTAGATGCAAAAGAAACAATTTATCTGAAAACAGAGCACACACACTGCCTACCAAAGTAATAAGTAAACTAAGTAAAACTAGAGTCACCCTGATGTTGTGATCTGCTATGCGCATGATGTTTTTTTGATAAGGGTAATATATGTCTACATTTTGTGGTTAAGTACTAGTAAAGGGATCCGAACCCCTCCAGGTTCAAAGCTAATGGTACTACCACCAGACCAAGCCCTTTGTTGTTCATGCTTTGCGCATGCTGTTTAAACACCAGTACATTGTGGTTAAGAACTCATGTTGTGACATACTTCTCTTATTAGTCAACATGACTAGACGTGTAAGAAATGCTAGATTCCAAGTCCTCCTTTAGCTGAATATGCAATTGAATGTGCACTATGGGGTTCCATTTTATCTTAAAGTAGTGTTTAGATGCCAAACATAAATATAAATGAATACTATGTAGGAAATAAGGCTAAAACTGGGTATCTGAAAGATACTAAATCAGCTTTTGACAAGGAAGAGCAGTTACTAGTACCCATTATAAATCAAGAAATCCGCTCTTTAACTTGACCAACTTGCCATCTCAAGAATAGAATCACAGGTCAAGTAAGGTGCAAGTAGCTTTCAACAAATAGTACACTATCCGAGACTATACCATATTTCCGGTTTGTTTAGCCACGAGCTTCTCTCAACGGAGCTTTTGGATGGCAGGTTTAAGAATCTTAAAGCAAGGTTTCAATTTAGAGTTGTGCAGTAATCTGCCCAAACAATTGCACACTGGAGTTGCATTATTAATAAGAGTGCCGACTTCAGAAAAGCATCTAAAGAAACCAACAATTAACCATTTTCTCGCTACAAATTTCATATCACGAAATACAAGCTTAGTATAACAAAAACCCGGAGTTCAACTTGATCCATGGCATACTACACCCATCAAGCCAAATGCCCATTTTATCCAACATTCACCTATGCAGAGAGTATAAAATAACAGTTCCCTATGTGCATACCAACAATACCATATAGGTGTCATAGATAACACAGATGAAACATCAAGCAAGAATGCTCATATCGTACCTTCATAATAGCAAGGTCATCCATTGGATCGTCAGGTGGTGTATTGGTGACGATTCCAAGAGCATTTTTCAAGGAGATCTGCATTGCTGCTTCAATCTCTCTTGAGCATTCTAGCGCTGTTGAATTTGCAGCAGCCACTACTGTTGCAACAGTGCCTAATTTTGCGGATCCATTCCCACTCAAGGAATTTACAGCTTCTTTATGGGCTTTGAGGACCAATTGAGATGCCCTGAGCAATGGCAGTCAGTGGCAAACACATTTAAGTAAAAACAAAACACCGAAATATTTTATAGAAAAAATGTCCTTATCAAATTTGATATTGATAAATCCAATAAACACAAGATCCATTCAACCACTATATTGATAAAATCAAAGAAGCTACTCAAGATCGAAAATTATTTTTCTTTCATGCATCATGTCTATCATTAACAAAATAAAGCCCAGGTCAGTTATATTTGGGACAACAGCTGAAACATCTAGCCTGCTTCTGGCATTTAAGTGTGGAAAGCATGTGCCACTGTGACTCTGAGCATGCATGGAGAGGAAACTACAGCATAACAGCATTAACTTCCAGAGTGCAAAATTTTCTGACAAATCAGTTTCAGAAGTCATATTGCAAAAATGCTTACTGTAAAGTTGTTACCCAAGCTCTAGCTGCACCAGGAGTCTCTGCACAAAGGAAATAGTCCTTTCTCTGTGGCGTGCCAATATCTAGGTTTTCATAAGGAAGAAACTGTAGAAAATTCCATCAACTAGATACAGAAATTTTCTAGCCTAAAAAGATTTGCAAATGATGAATATTTGTAATACCAAGGATACAGAAACAGCAGCCATCGTATTTTGGAAGGCCACTGAAAGACACAGAATGTATATTGTTATTAATCAATGACATGATAATAATCTGGAATATCAGAAGAGAGAAACCCATTAAAAAAGAGCAATCTTACTGGAAGTTAACCGGGGAAATGGTAATTGTGCTATTGGCATCGAAGACAATAGATCCCTTCATAGTTGCATCACTTCTCTTGGTCCTAAGGCAAGGAAATACAGTTTAATTGAAGATCAACAAACAGCAAGGACAGGAGTGAGAGAAAGAGGGAGGAGGTAAAGAGATATGCTGGAAAGATTACTCACTTGTATTCCATTTTCCCAGTAGTTGGATCCAAAGTCACCCACCGCTCATTCCATTTTCTCAGCTAAGGAAGGCAATAGTCCATAAAAAAGGGAAGCAGACATAAGTTGTTCCAGAGTCCGGGAATCAAGAGATAGCTGAGTTGTAGATAAGAGCAACTCTGAAACCCTTAAGTTGCAGAGCATGTGCATGTAAAGCATAGACACAGCACAGGAACAAGTATGAAAATATACAGGCGCACATCTACACAATGCCTGTGACAAATATACACATTCTGGGGAGAACCAAACTCACCATACACAGTATTTTTTATGCAATAGAAAAACTTCTATCAAGCTCTACCTTTGAGATGGGCCTAGATTTTACTGAGGCAATGGGAGAAAGGAATAGAGAATCAATCCGATCAGAGGTTGAACTTTCTGAACCAGAAATTGCTAACAAATCAAATTGAACAATATCAGACGCAAAATGGGAACAAGCAAGCATTGGGAATTTTAAGCTGGGCTACACAATAAAATTAAAATCTCTTCGCAAACAAATTCTAATGACAACGGAGCTAAAAGAAGGGAGCTGCAGTCGGACTGAAACAAAAGGAGAAGAGAGAATGAGATTACAGTCTCAGATCGCTTAAGGAGAGGGCCTTGCAGCAAGTTCCTGCCCGAACCAGACGCGAGCTGCCGCTTTATCTTCTCCAAACTGTTCTCCTGCTCCACTGCCCTATGCTGCTGCCATGTTTTGTCACAATTACAGCATCCCTCAAGAACAATCAACAGACTAACTAAATTCCGACACACCAATAACCCTACTCTTAGTCGGAGTCGCCGACTTCGATACAACCGAACGAAAAATCAATCCATCATGTACATAGGAAAGATAAAATTCCAAAAGAAGAAGTGCTGATACTAAATGTGAGCAGATCAGGTTGGACTAACCGAAGAAGCGCCATTGGAGGCCATGGAAAGGTGTGTAGAAGTAGCAGCAGTGCCTGCACAAAATCGAAGCAGAAGACAGAAATGGCGATTAAGCCTCAAGGGAAAGTCTCGTCCGTTCTCGCAGTTATGTTTTGTTATAAGAACTTGGAAAACATCTCCAACGAAAATTAATTAAAACGCAACAGTTACGGAACTCCTCCGTTGATGAAAAGTATTATGATGATTATTATTTTTATGAACTTACTATATTGATTGTTAACTGTTGTAGTAGCACTCTCCATCTCCATCGGTTCTGTTTAATTATAACCGGAATCATATAGTCGGTTTTCAGTTAATTGTTAAGTATTTTGTACTTATCGTTAATGATATCATTTATATTAGACGGTTAACTGTAATTATATAATCGGTTTTCGATTAACCAGATAACTGTTAAGCAAGTGATTTGACATAGTTGTACCAAAATAACTGATTACTAACATAACCAAGACCATCTCCAATAAAGGAGTGTCAAAGTGCTAGATGAATTTGGCACTTTGGTTGTCAAAAAGTGGGTTTTGCTCCAATAATATAGTTTAGTGTAGATTTTATCATTTTAATTATAATTTGTATATTATTTTGATATATGTAGTAATAATGAATTAAGAAAAATATTTTGATGTAATTTTTAATTTGGATATATTTTTTTCCGTTAAATATGATCTCATCAATTGCATTAAACTGATCCAACCCCTAAATGGTTCAGGGTTTACGTGGTGGAAAAAGCCGCTAGTCATCCAATTGCTAGGATGATTGACAGGTTATTATTAATGAAATTTGGTTGGAGAAGTTTAGGGTGAGTTCGGTTGGACAAACACTTCGGGGGTTTCCTTACCCAAATCGTTCAAATAAATCATATTGTGGAAGCAACTTTCATCGTAATTGTCTATTATTACGTAAGGCTAGAAGACTGAGATTAAGGTAAGGGGTACCCACATTATATTTACTTTGGAAAAAGAATTGTCTATTACAACTGTCCCACACCTTAGTTTATTAAAGAAGAGAAAAGGTTGGGGCTAGAGTGTTTTGAAGAACGGAGAGAAAGACAAATCTTTTTATAAGTACTAGCATCAGGCCCGGCCCTCGTTGTTGAGATAAAATTTTGTTAAAACACCATAAAATGAAGAAACTACCGATGATCCTAGGGAGGAAGTAATTTTTGACTCCTACATCATTAAAATAATGTGTCAAAATTGTTTATGCTACAAACACACTCAAGCACGCTATTGATGTCATACTCCGCCACAAATGCAAGTTGCTGCCATTAAAAGCATGGACAAATAGGATCTGCATAATTATAAAAATACAGACGGCAAGCTGTTACTGCCATAAACACATAGTAAGGTCTGCTTTTTTGAACTTCAACTTCCATTTGCATTGGACAATAACAAAACTCTGTGGAATCTTGAAGTCATAATTTGATAAATAACAAACATTCACAAACACATTAAAGCATTATTCTCCTACCCAAAGGTGACATATTTACTACTCAGGATATCAAGGTTGTAAGTGAACCGCCTGCACCATTCTACTCAGCATTATCATGGCTCTGTCCGTGTTATGGATATAAAGCAATGTTTCATGTCATTTGTAAATTACCTGATGGATTCCCTGCACAAACCAACATCATAATCACAAAAACAAAAACAAAAAATTAAGGTTCATGCTGCCACAATCATCTTTCGAGGCTCTTCCAAGACGATTGGCCAGTGAATTTGTACAAGGATGTGAAAATGTCCCATTGGCCAGTGGATTGAGCTGCTACTATTATTGTGATATTGCAGTATATAAGAACACCATGGCTGCTGCGATACATCATTGTTGGGGACTTCTTTGTTTCAAAATTGACAATTAATTTTAAAAACTTTTATTTGAGACATAGTTATGAGGTTAGATAAACAAAACCCTGAACATTGTGGCTGCCATATCACATCTAATTCCTTTAGTCATGCCCTTACATATTCCCTCTGTCACAGCTGCTGCAAAACATGTATACCATGTAACTTGCTTAATCTCAGCAGGTTAAAAGATCTAAAGTTTCTAAACTTTAGTCAAACGATTAGGAAATAAGTCCTACGGTAAACCAACCTCGTCATAACTGCAAGTTTGCAGCATTCCAAAAATTCTCATTACCAACATAACTTCTCTAGATACTGCAGCAATGGATTGAACTAATGTTGAAATCTGTTTTTGCTTCTGCCAAATTACAAATTGAGGAGAAGGTGTGTTAACGGAATAATGAAGAAAACATAAAAATGAAAAGAGACATGGCTGGATCAAAGAACCTTACATTTACTAGTTTCAGATTAAGAGTTATGTACTTGAAGACTTCTTTGAACTTTCTCTAAGTTAGTATCTTTGACTTGTTCAATCGTCAATCAACTTATCATTGAACTCTTCTTGAACTAACCTGATATCTATGTTTGTGCCTCACCACATATCTGAGCAGTCTTCTTGCCACTCTCATGAACCTTTTATGAAATGGTGACAAAGCAACCTCACAATTTTGCAATGTCTGTTATGATCAATCACCACAAATTGAGCCATAAAAAGTGATATCCTAACACTAAAATAAAGACCCGATGATCCCAAGATAATAATACTTGATAAATGAACCAATCAGTATAAGACGCTTTCTCAATTTGGGCAACAGTATAGTTTAGGATCTAAGGGTGATTAATAATATGATGGACCTGCCAGGAAATTGAAAATAAGGCAGAATTATGTTAACATGGAGAAGTCCCTACTCTTTAAAGGTTGAAAATCTACAAATGCATGTGGCTCTTGTCCTGAAATGCCACAAACTCTAGCTACTGGTGTAAAACACACTACAATAAGCTATTGTTGTCATAAACACACAAATCTAGGCGATTTTCAAGTTAAGATTCTATCTTTAGAGTCACGTTAAAATTCAAAACTATTTACAATCTAAAACTCTAAACTTGACAATATCCAAACCATTCACAAACATATTAGAGATGCTGGAAACAAATATCATAGTTAACATTTAAGAGTTCATTTTCTTGATCAGAAGGATCTCTAAATGGCTTCCCACATAAGCATTGTTATTATGTGGATGATCAAAATTTTCCCAATAATAGTAACAAACAGGTGATTATTGAGCGAATTCGATATACCTAAGATGCTGCAAACCCCGTAAACCATGTAATTTGGTTAGTTTCAGCAGTTCAGAATATCATAAGTATCTAAATTTGAGTCCAACGATTAGGAATTGAGTCCTACGGCAAACTAACCTCATCATAACTGCAAGCTGACAACATGTTTAAGAATTTGCAGTATCGACACAATCACACAATTTGTCTACCTACTGCAACATTGGTTCTTCTCTTAGTTTCCCTTTGCTGGTGGTTTTGCCAGCTTTTGACATCTGCGGGTTTCGCTGAATATATTTTCTAGACATGTATTGGAAATCACCCCATGGATTTGGCACAAATCCAAATATAAAAAATAATTAATACCCAAACAAATGATTTGACATTTAGAATCAAAATCACAAATACCACATTCAAATCAAAAATACCGTTAAGGCATTTATCATGCTCCAATTTCCAATTGACCAATTCTTCAAGGGACCCTGCTCCTAAATCTGCAAATTCCTAACCAAAAACAAATTGAAGAATGATTAGCGATGTTGAGTCAAGGACTAAGAATAAATAAATCTAGCTTCATATGCCTTCATCTCCTTCACACTCAAGTGAATATCAATTCTCCTTGTAAACCTTATTAGCAATCATATATTTATTTGTTTACACATCGTTGACCATTCTATAATTCCTTACTTGTATGTTCCAAGGACTTGGAAGTGAAGTAGAATGCAATTTACTTTGTGTTCATCATGTTATTATTGAGTCAAGTGAAGCTTTTCATGCCTTGTTGGCATTATCTAAAGAAGATGAGTATTGCCAAGCTACACACAATAATGCACTGTATGATGGCGATGGGGATGATCCATAATCAGAGATAAGGTTATCTAAACTAAAAGTATCCCATATATTTGTTCATGGGCTTTGTTTTAGGGAATGCAAGCAGATGGAAGCTTATCCTACGCAATTCCAAAAATAATTTAAAACATTCCAGGAGATACATGACTGAATAATTAAACAAATCCAAGCAATACAAAATGCAAGGGTATCAGACTATCAGTTCAAACCATTCTAAGTTCAATCAAACACTCAACGAAAGAAACAGAAACATATAAGTTCTCAAAGATCCCAATTTTTAAACCACACCGGCCTAAAGGTGGGGGAAGATGGAGCAGAGGCCAGAGAGGAGGAGCTTCGAACTTGGATAGAGAGAGAGAGAGAGAGAGAGAGAGAGAGAGAGAGCGGGAGAACCTACAAATAGCCCAAATCAGTTGCCGGGAAGAGATATAAGGGACGACGGAGGGAATCGCGGTGGGAGAAGACGAAACGACATGGGAAAGAGCCGACAACATTTGTTGGGTCCGACGACAGCGGCTCTGCGAAGGGATTTGCGAGAGAATCTATCCAATATGGAAAAAATAGGGAAGCATCGATGTCGGTAGCTGCGGTTGGCAAGGGCCGCCGTGAGCTTTCCGGGAGAGTTGAGAGATAGCTGCTCGCTGAGCTACAACAACGGTTTGCTTGGTCGGCGGCGAGATTTGAAACCCAACTTCCGAAAGGTCGTGGGAATGACGAAAAAAGTCCTCCGAAGTGTGCGGGTTGTTGAGCACCGGCTGATGTGGCAATTTATTTACCCTGACATTCCCTTATATTTATGTGTAGATAAATAAAAATAAAACCCGAACCCACGGGTATCCTATTCGACCCAACCCGGTTAAGACGGGTAAAACCTGCGTCGACAAGTTATGAGTCGGGTTTGGGTTTAAATCCGTTCATTATTTACCGGGTTGGGTTTGAGTTTAGGTAAACCAGCCCTATAGATACCCGCCCACACCGATATAATTAATTTTCCCGGTATATTTAATATTCTAAACAACTAATCTTCTTTATGTTTGCGGAGACATGTCTATTTTTTTTCTTTCTAATTGTCTAGAATAAAGTTGACATTATCGAGTGGAGAGTGAAGAAGGGTAATTGACAAGGCGGAAGAAGCTTTCAATTAATCATGTTGTTTATGGATAATTTGTGATTTGCTTCAATTTTCTTGAGTTTTCTAGATTGGTGTTAAACAATTTGTATGGTTAATTTGTGATTTGCTTGAATTTTCTATAATGGTGTTATATATATGGATTATTTGTATTGAGAGATTGATATTTGACTTTTATTTTGATAGGAACTTGTTATTGTAAATTTTTTACAACAAAAACTCATGGGTACCCATGAACCCGCGAATACCCGGTGGGTTGGGTTGGATTTGAGTTTTTCAAACCCCGTGAATTTTACCCCTGATTTTTTTCACTGATAAACCCATGGGTTTGGGTTTGGAAAAACCCGACTCATTGTTATTTCTAATTTTAACGCTTCCCTTTTTCAAAAATCAGTTCAAATTCGGACCCAAAACAATATATCACTCGATTGATTGACTCATAGGAAAATTTAGTCACAGATGTGAATGTCAATGGAGAAGTGGATGTGGAGTTTTAAAAGAATCATATTAGCACAATGGATAGTGAAGTGGTACAGAAACCTGGCAACTACTACGACACCTTGATTCGACACAATGTAGATTCGGGGATTGTGAGGTTTTAATGAAGGGTATACCAAGGGTGGAGATAAGTCAGATAATGCAGTTAAAATCATGATTTTACTTAAAATTGAAAATCGAGATAAAATTGAAATCATAAATTAAAATTGTAAGATTTTAAGATTCATATTAAAATAAACACTTAAAACACGAGATAGTAATACAAATGAATATTCTGAATAACAGTGAACCACATATTACTTAATTACTTCCCAATATAAGTTTGTCTGTAAAATAAACACAAATAAATCAATAGATTTGTTCTTGTACATAATATAAACACACAAATAAGCAACCTGAAACCTCATAGGAAAAACTGTAATCTAGTTAGTAGTTAAGAGTAGAAAATCACATAAGATCGTTAAGATCAACATTAACATGCCTCACACATCATCATCTTCGCCCTCACTCTCACTCTCATGCTCATAGAATCCTTGTCTATTTGCTTGAACAATGGTATCATTATTTTCAGTGTCACTTGAAATAATTCATCATTAACCAAATTTCCATGATCACAATCATCTAAATGTTTGGAGATGAACAAAAGTTTGTAAGGGAATGAGGATTGGGCTAATTGCGAGGGTGGAGGGAAACAAACTATGAGCTAATTTTGAGTGTGGATGAAATCGTTGATGCAAGGAATAGGGTGTTGACGTGCCGCAGAGGAAGATATGAGGAACATAACAAAAATCAATTGAGGTTTTCTCGTGGGTTAGGGTTGTTTTGTTCATGATGTTGAGTCGAGGAAAGTGAACTTGACCCGGTTCATGGACTAAACCCAACATGACCAGGCTGATTTTGTTCCAGTTGACATGAACCTTTAAATCGTATAAATCGTAGATTTTAAGGATTTTACATATTTAAATCGGGATTTTATGAGATTTTAAGGTTCAAAGATTTTGTAGTAAAATCGGGATCGGAACTCATAGGTAGGATCATAAAATCGTAAGATTAAAATCGGAATTTTGCCTATATTAAAAACAAGTATTCAAAGATATGGGGAGAGATAAGGCACATAGCCCTGATGGGTCCCCTGTGGATTCTTGCTTCATCATTGGGATATTGTAGATAAGGAGATTGAAGAGGTAATCTTTAAATTCTTGTATATTAGTTTTATGCCTCAGATAATGAATTTAACCATTTTCACTCAAATTGCTAAGTTGCCTTGTTCAGAAAGAATGAAAGACTTATGTCCTATCTCGTGTTGTAATGTCTTGTGTAAGGGAATTTACATACTTTTAGCCAATAAACTTGCTCTTGCTCTTCCAAAGCCATTAGTAGATCTCAATATGCTTTTATGAAGGGGAGATCCATTAGTGATGATAAAATACTTTGATTTTAGAACTAGTTAGAGATTACCGCAAAGCCCTGATAATTCCTAGGTGTGTGATTAAAATAGATATAATGAAGGCTTTTGACTCTCTAATTTGGGAATCTTAGTTATTGTCTTGTCTGCTCTGATGTTTTCAGAAGGGTTTGTTGTATTGATCGATGCTTACAAAAATCAATTTTTATGAGGTTTAATTATCAACCCGGGTGGAAAATGTACTATTTCTTCACACAAATCAGATTTTTTGAAGTTACCCAACATATACACGTTCTCACTCTAGACTCCTCAAAAAATCTGACTTCTGCTCCTTTATATAGCCATAATGTGCAAATTTCACTGTTACCCGTCACGATCATGAGGTTTGCAGCCAAACCGTGAGGTCGACTGAGTTCACACCATTTCACTTACAATATCCACGGTGTTGTGCGATTATCACGGTCTGCGGCCGAGAGATTTGCAATCTCCCACGATATGAAAGGGCCTCTCTTAAGTATGAAAAGTTCACGATTTTAGTGTGGATATCATGATTGGCAAACCGTGATATATGCACATGCCCGCGAGATGTCTCTGTCCTCATGGAACTTGTGCAATCCCCACGTTTTTTATGTGGATGTGACGGCCTGGCCGTGAGAATCTGCTCTAGACCGTGAGCTTTGACACTTTCCTCCATTTTATCATGTTTTGTCTCCCTCTTGTCCGAATTTTGTTCCTTTAGTCAATTTTGCCTGCTATAATCTGAAGTACACCCAAACATGAAAAACCTAGAGTAAAATGGCTCTAAGAACGGCGAAACGGTGAAACGCAAGTCAAACATCCAAGAAAACGATGTGTAAATATATATAATTAGGCTTGAATCAGTGTACTTCCTGATGACTCTTCTTGCGTTCTCCAAAATATGTTCAAGAGCAAGGGGAGGTGATAACGTTGTATTTGCACATGTTTGCACCCTCATTTCTTATATGTTTTGGCTCGTAGTCGTGTGTCTTTGGCCTATTGTATGCGGGGTTGCGTTTTTTTGTCATATTTCAGGTCCCAGACATCAAAGGAATGTCTAAGCGCGAGTTTCGGGTCATTTGGAGGTCATTCGGTGAAGCTGGGGCAAAACACGGGCAACCTTACTCAAGAACACGATCGTGGTTCACTAAGGAGCACGCCACTGCTTTTTAGTGCGCAGGTCAAGTCGAAGAAAGGCGAAGAAAAGAGATCACATGTTTCATCCTGATCAACTTCTTTTGAAGATTTCTGTTGCAACCTGTGATAGATAGAATCTGAATAGGTTGTTAGAGCTTCTTTAATCAATAGGAGTGAATTAATTATATGAGAGTTAGTCAATTCACTGCTTTGTACAGTAGTGGAGTCCTGTGTTAATTGCCTTAGCATTCTATGCCGGTGAAGACTAGCCGGTTAGTCTGTCTGAGAGGGCTTGGTCAGCTTACGAGATTCCAAGCCACTGTCGGATCTTCCGCAGTTTAATCAAAAGTGAATCAACCAAAGGAGATTACAACTTGGACCTAACTAAGTAGCTAGGGGGACTCATTCCCGAGTGACTCTTCTCTTGCTTCAGAAAACCGGACAATTTACTGCTTTCTTTCTATTTTGGTTTGAATTCAACTTCACTCACTTAGTCCCGCTAGATAATAGAAGTTCACGAAGTAGGCAGTAGATTTAGACCCCGGCTTGATAAATTAAACTCACCCACTATTCTAAATTTCCAGACTGTGGTTATACTTAGTCGTAGTTTGGTGTTGTGTCGTAGCGAGTCAAGTTTTTGCGACGTTGCCTGGGAGACTAAGTTATTGGAGAAACGTGAACATCTGTTACTTTAGCATTTACTTTTCACCATTTTTCTTCATTCCCTGTGTGCCTTCACGGGTTGTGCTTGCAGTCTGTATGCAGGTAGTGCATGACCCGTAGCCAGTCGGGAGAGCTATATCCATTAGATGAAGAGCTCGAACGAACTTGTCGTAACTTCAAGCGAACTTTGAAGGCGCGACTTGTTGCGGAGGAAGCTTTGGAGCATCTTAACATCAACCAAGATGACGACATGGATGAACCCAATAATGGCAGGGAGCTTGTCCCCAACAAGCATACGATGGGATACTACTAGACCGCCAGGGCCGTAGACATGAGGTCGCCCATCCAACACCCTCAAGTTCCTGCTAACAACTTTGAGGTGAGCACCTCTATCATCACTATGCTGCGCGGCTCGGCGGTATTCTATGGAAAATCAGGCGAGTGCCCACGCGCGCACTTGAGGCGATTCCATGAACTGATCGATGGAATCAAGAATAACGAGGTCCAAGCGAAGATGTGGCTGGACAACCAGCCTTCGGGGTCGATCTCTACATTCACCAACCTGACCTACAAGTTTCTGACACGCTATCATCTTCCATCTAAGACAGCGGACCTGCAGAAGGAGATCACCCATTTTGCACAGGAAGAGGATGAGACCATCCAGGATGCGTGGGAAAGGGATGACTTGATATATACACATGTTTTTATCCACCATTCTTATACCGTTTGAGCCTCATATCTCGTACCTTAGGCCGATTTCACGCTAGGTTGTTCTTGTTTATGATATTTCAAGTCCTAGTACGTGAATGGAGGTTTGGGAACGAGTTCCGGGTCGATTGGACGAAGATTGGATGTTTGGCGAGAAGTTGAGGAAGCCACACGACCAGACCTAACAGCCACACGGTCATGTGGCGTGGCCGTGTGGAATTCCTTTGCGCGGGCAAACCACATTGGCCGTGTACCAGATCCCTTAAGGCCATGTGTAAATCACAGAGATGTCACGGGCAAGCCGAGATTTCACACGCCCGTGCAGTTCTGGCCGTGTGACGTGCATGAGACCACTTAAGTGAAACGCAGCGTTTTCACCTCCACACGGGCAGCTGGGATTTCCACATGGCCGTGTGGCCTGGTCGTGTGGTCGGGAAATTCTGGGTTTTAACCCAATTTGGGTCTTTTGGAGGGGGATTGAGTTTTTGAGCAAAAAACAGAGCTTTAGAGAGAGAAAGTGCAAAGAACAAACCCTAGGAGCTATTTGGAGTGGATTTCTCACCATTGAAGCCCAGATTGCATCCCCAGGAGTGAAGATCGACATCCCAGAGCAGATTATCCTCATCTTTATGAGTCTCACTACTCTGATTTCTGTTTTCGTCTCTCTCTCTATGGAGTAGAACCTTCTCTCACTAGGGTATGAAGAACCCTAGTTCCATGTGTTAGGAATCTTGATTGTAATGACTGTGGATTGATATACTGATTGATTTTAATCGATTGATGCATGATTCATTGAGTCAATTGAAGCTTGGTCATCTTTTCTTGATTTCTGCTGCAACCTGAGATAGATAGAATCTAATTAGGTTGTTAGAGCTTCATCAATCGATAGCGGTAGATTGGTTATACGAGAGTTAATTGATTTACTGCTTTGTACTGGAATCCAATTCTAGTAGTGGAGTTATACTTTTATTGCCTCAGCAGTCTATCCCGGTGAAGGCTAGTCGCCTGCCGGTTAGTCTGCCTGAGAGGGCTTGGTCAGCTTAAGAGATTCCAAGCTACTGTCGGATCTTCCTCAGTTTAATCAATAGTTAATCAACCCAGGGTAATTACAATTTACAACCTTGACCTAACTAAGGAGCTAGGGGGCTCATTCCCGAGTGATTCTTCCTTTGCTAAAGAACTTTGAACCATTCCTTGCTTTCTTACTGCTTTTACTTAAAATCACAATCACTCGACTTAGTTTGCTAGATAATAGATAATCAACGAGTAGGTAGTAGATCTAGACCCCGGGTTGACAAATAGAGCTTGCCACTTTACTACATTTCCGGACTGTGATTACACTTGGTCGCAGTTTGGTGTTGTGTTTTAGCGTGCCAAGTTTTTGGCGTCGTTTCCGGGACCTTCTAGGTTATTGTGGAAACGTGAAAGTTTGTTACTCTAGCTTTTTCTTTACTGCATTCTCTCTCTTCCACCTTTGTGCCTTCACGGGTTGTGTTTGCATTCTGTGTGCAGGTAGTGCATGACCCGTAGCCAGTCGAGAGATTTACTACCATTAGACCAAGAGCTTGAACGAACTTGTAGGAACTTCAAGTGGGCTTTAAAGGCGCGACTGGTTGCGTAGGAGGCTCTAGCACAGCTACAAATCACCGAGGAGGAAGAAATGGGTGAACCACAGAACAATGATGTGGTCATTCCCGAGGAGCAGACCATGGGGTATTACTAGACCGCCAGAGCCGCGGACATGAGGTCTCCCATCCAGCACCCTCAAGTTCCAGCAAATAACTTTGAGGTGAGCACCTCTGTCATCACCATGCTGCGCGGCTCGATGGTATTCCGTGGCAAGGAGGGGGAGTGCCCCCGATCTCACCTGAGGCGATTCCACGAGCTCATCGATGGGATCAAGATCAATGGGGTTCCAGCCGATGCCATCCAGCTGAGGTATTTCCCATTCACTCTGGAGGGGTAAGCCAATGAGTGGTTGGAAACCAGGCCTCCCAGATCGATCACCACGTTCGCCAACCTGGAGGACAAGTTCCTCACTCGCTACCATCCTCCGTCGAAGACGGCGGACCTACATAAGCAGATAACCCATTTTGCATAGGAGGATGATGAGACCATCCGGGACGCGTGGGAGAGATACACCAGTCTCTTCCTAAGGTGTCCCAATCATGGTTTCAATGATGCTTTCAAGGTGGGCACCTTATACCACGCCCTCTTTCCAGAAGACAAGCAGCTAATTGACTCAGTTTGTGGCGGGAACATGTTGACCAAGACGACGCCGCAGTTGAATCAACTCTTTGAGGAGATGGCAGAGAAAGGGTATGATTGGGGTACTGCTAGGAGGTCGAGGCGAGCACCAGGCCGGGGTGTATATGCTGTGGGCACCTCCTCTTCTGATTTGGTGCATGTTGTGTCTTAACTGGTCTCAGCTATCGATCGGAATGGGATGGTTCCGGGGATAGGGCAGCAGCCGGCAATGCGTTGCTAGTGGTGCGAGAGCGCCCATCATACTGTAGAGGATTGCCAGGCCATGCGTGAGTCCAGTACACCCCAGGAGCAGGTGAACTTCATCAACAATGTCAAGCGCAACGACCCCTACAGTAATACCTACAATGAGGGATGGCGCGAGCATCCAAATTTCTCCTGGAGTAGCAACAATAATCCAAAGCCACCAGGCTTCCAGGCTCCTGCAGCTAGTTTTCCAAACCAGAGGCAGCCATACCAGCCTCTCCCGGGCCAAATGCAGCAACAACAGCCACTTTATCAGCCCAGACAGGGGCAGGCTTTTCAACAGCCCCCACAGCAGCAGTAACAACAGCTTGGTGCATCTTCATCAGTCCTAGCACCGGGCGATCCCGTGTCAGAACTGAGGGATCTAGTGACTACCTTGGCCAGCACTAGTACCCAAAAGTTCAATAAATTGGAGCAATTCATGGAAGTGGCTGCAGGCAAATTCATGGAGATTGAAGCTGGCCAGAGAAACCAGCAGGCACTCTTGCAGGATATGGACACCAAGATCGGGCACCTGGCAGATGCCCTTTCTTCCAAACCGGCTGGCACACTTCCTAGCCAACCCCTGCCGAATCCCATAAATCATAAGGAAGGGTTGCACGCCATTATGTTGAGAAGTGGGACTGTGACTGCGGATGCACCGCAGAAGTGTGCCAAGAAGGTGACCCATATCACCCCAGAGCCGGAAGAAGACCTGGTGATGGAAAAGGAGCCAGAGGCTCAACCTCCAAAGCCACAACCAGTAGTGGCTGAATATAAGCCTAAGCTCCCTTTTCCCACAAGGATGTACAAAGATAGGCTAGAGGCAGAGTTCGGCATTTCTCGTCCATGCTTAGGAAGCTGAGTGTTCAAGTGCCCTTCATGGAGGCACTATCTCAGATGCCTAAGTATGCGAAGTTCCTGAAGGAGCTTCTCTCAAAGAAGCGGAGGCTAAGCGAGCTGGCCACTGTGGAGCTCAGTCAGGATTGCTCGGCCATTATGCAGAATAAGCTTCCGCAGAAGCAGAAGGACCCAGGTAGTTTTAATATCCCGTGCTCTATAAGTAAATTGCATGTAGAGAGGTCTTTGGCGGATCTAGGTGTTGGTATCAATGTGATACCATATAAATTGTTCAAGAAACTAGGCGTAGGTGAACCCAGTGCAACGAGGATGAGTATTCAATTAGCTGATCGATCTGTAGTTCATCCTAGGGGTATATGGAAGACCTTCTGGTTAAGGTTGGCAGATTCTTTTATCCTGTGGATTTTGTTGTCTTGGACATCAATGAAGACGCAGAAGTGTCCCTTATACGGGGAAGGCCTTTCCTGGCCACCGCCAAGGCTCTCATAGATGTACATGATGGGACCTTAGTCTTGAGAGTTGGCGAGGAGCAGATAACATTTTCCATTGCTAATACTCACCCCGCATCATCGCTTTTGCATGTTGTTTCTCACCAGGAGCACGAGTCTGTCGTGTATCCTTTTGTGCCTCCCATTTTGCAGGATCCACCTCCCATACCTTCGCCGCCACTCCCGACCACCCTGTTCCCAAAAGAAAAGATCAAGGAGGAGTGGCGGCCGAAACTACAGGCAGCTAAGCTTGTTGAAAAGGAAGCGGGAGACCACTATGTGTTGGTCCCGGCTCCTGAGCCTCGACCGCCTTGGCCATCCGAGTATCCAATCGCTTGCATCCTGCCGGATGGCCATGTCGAGTTGACGAGTGCTGGTGGTCACACCCGTCCTGTGCATGGCCACCATCTGAAGTTGTACCTCAAGAGCGATGTGGATCCTCTCTTGAAGGCACATGTTCCTACACCTCTCTGAGCATCCACCCTACTAGCGTCCAGCTAAAAGACGGTAAAGAAGTGCTTGTGGGGAGGCAACCCCACTAAGGTTTGTTTCCCTTTCGTTTGTTTTCGATTTGTCCACTTGGAACTATGGTCTCTATCACCCAGTGTATTTTGATGACTCTAGCCCTGCTGACTAGTCCCATTTCCCGTCCCCCGACAGTCCGTATTCCCGGTAACATCGTTTCCCCTTGTCTTTCCCTCTGCTCCATTGAAGGCAATGTCGTGCTTAAGTGTGTGTGTGGGGGGGGGGGGGTGTTTATCTATTGTTGACTGCTAGATGAGTTTGTGTGCTTGGAGCCTAGTCCGCTGTCGAAATCTCGAGATTTGAGGGCTCCAAGTACTTATGTTTTCATGATCATATTGGCACTGTGGGTTTGATTGGTGAATCGAATAGCTTTTGAATTGATGCATGACAACTAGATTGTGACTGAGATAACCTATAATGATGACTAAGACGTGCATTAGAGTTGTGTAGGGGTTCAGTTTTTCAACTATTTTCTTACCAACTATGACTTGGATTGATCACTTTCTCTTGACATTTGTTTATGCATCTAGTTCAGGGAATCAGATCGAGAGATAGAGCATATAGGTAGCCATGTGAGATTTGAGCCTCCTCGTTTGTTTCTTGTGCGATAGATCCCTCTTCCATGATGTGTAGCATTCACGTTGTCACTAGCTAAGATGATGGAGGCATAGGAATAGCCCACGACCATATTGACTGTCCTGGTCTGTCTTACCCCCTAGTTAGCCCCTTTGAGCCGTGTAATTTCCTTTCTTTCGGTCTACAATGGCAAATCACCCTTTTGCATCTCTTAGAAGGTTCCACGGAGTGGTTTTAGTTTGTTCTCTGTTGTTTCTGCTAAAAATGATGTGAGGGTTGGAGGTAGTGCTTAAAAGTTGGGCATGTGTGTGAAAAATATGCAGAGGTGGTGGTTCTCTCAAGAAATGAAAAGAAAAAAAAAAGATGAATGAAAGCAAAAGAGAGCCACTACCAAAAATTTGAATCATGCTCATTAATTAGTGTTTCTTAGCAGTCTGGCTTGGAAATACTAACATTATTGTGACCTCCTTTGCTCTTGTGCTCTAAGGAATTTAAGTAATGCAGAATGGCAGAAAAAAGTTACTGGTTTGATTGGCTGTGAATGTGTTGGGTTTGGAACTGTGGAACCTTGGGCTATGAATACTTCCACCACCTAAAAGGCTTTACCCCCATGTCCAAGACCCTAGCCAGTCACTTGAACCTGTGTCTAAGACCTACGGATGAGTTAGTGGTGACATCCCTTGTGTGAACTCTAACATTTAGAGGCTACCATCATGGTGAAGAGACGTTAGGATTTGAGAGAATAAACATGCGCATTTTCGCATCAAATTGTCCTGACCCCAATGGTCGAGAGTGAGCGATTCATTTCCTTGTTTTGTATGCTCTTTACCCCGGTGAGGACCTAGATGGCTCGGTCTTGATTCTGATGTCTTGATTTTGATGCCTGCGATGACTGTATTGGTTAAGTGTTTGAGTCAAGTCTATGTTGGTTGGTGAACAGAAAGGATTCCTCTTCCTTTACCCGATTTGGCTGCACTCGAATGTCCTCTGTGGTGGTTGTCTAGGTTGCTATTGAGTTGTCCATATGTCAATGATCAAAAGCCAGAATGATTCACGTGTTCTGTGCCTATATGATATGTGCCCAAAGTTGGTATGATTGAAATGTGTTGAGCTTACCTTGTATCTGACTTGGTTTGCTTGGGGACAAGCAAACGGTTAA